GAAGTCATAAAGAAGAAGCAGGCGAACTTGCTCCTTAGTAAGAGGGTAGGGCTGGTTCATGGCTGGAGAGCACCAGGGCTGTAATAATATACGGTTGTATGCCGAAGGACACGACCTACTTATAAACACACGCAGAACATTCTAGCATGCTCTGGAAAAAAATTGTACTGGATATTCAAGAAATTCCGAGAACTTTCTTTCCAATCAGATAGATCATATGCAAAATCTATAATGATTTCAGAGCATTCGAGTGTCATCTTCTTATGAGCTTGAGATATTGTGGTTGTTGGCTATTGGAGGTCCTCATGTACAGGAATATTTGAAGGACAACCAAAAGTTTCCCCAATGAATTTTACATGTAACTGATTTCTGCCTCAAAGCCTCTATCCAAGACTAATGTCAAATGCAAGTTGAATTCCATTGTGGATATTCATTTTGGATCATTTACTAGTCATATGAATTTTGCATCTGAGATCCACAATAATTGGAGTCTTTTGTACTTCTCCTTTCAGGGACTATCACAGGAAACAAAGGAAGCTGACAGTCCTTAAAAAAAGGGCTTTGGAGAGGAATCCTGATGAATTCTATTTTCACATGATCAACTCAAAAATTGAGGTATTGACACTGTCTTCCATGATACATTGTGCACTTCTCAAATATCTTGAACCTGACAAAACATGCAATTCAAGCAGGAATATGGGTTCCTCTTAGTTCTTCACATGCTTTAGATTTCATCACTCACTTGCATATAGAGGTTTGGATGATTGCATTGGAGGTGATAGACTAGTTTCATTAGAGTCCATTTCTTAAGATGTTCTTCCTTCCCTTGGTACAGCTACACCACATTTCTTGCATGTAGCTTTTGATTTGTCATCTGCTGATGCCATGAAATGCTTTCAAACTGGCAACTTGGAGGGTATACTGATCTGGTCTATTGTAGTCAGGACCCATATCGATTTTGTAAAAAAAAAAAAAAAGGAAATGGAGTAGTGAACTTCAATATTTAATTTTCTCCTATGGAAGTAGAATTAAGCATTTAAAAAAGTGGCAGAAGTATGTAGAGTGATTATCTCTGACTGAAACTTGGAATACCATTTCTACTTGGGTCTAAAACAAAATCCTCAATAACAGTAGGGGAGAGTTTATCCATACCTCCAGGCCATATAAGGAGGTTAGAATGAATATTTAGTAGGAGCAATGAAAGTGCACATGCCTAGACTCAAGAATGATGCTAATTCTTGATTGCAGATTGTCCAAGGAAAGGAGTTGTTCAGTTGGCAGTAAAGTGAGTGTTTATAAATTGTCTGTACAACAGATGGGTAAAGAATAAAGTGAGTTGCAGTGGCAGGAAGGGGGTAGAGATGTGCCTGAACCTTGGGCAGTGCTAGTTCGAGAAGGTGGAACAGTGTATTGCAGGGCTTATTTTTGCTAGACCTAATTTAGCATTCAAACTGGATCGTCATGAAATTTTCCATAAGAATGTTCCTGCTTGCAGGCATTGCACTAGACTCATTCTTGGTGAGCAGAAATAGCTATCACACATTTCTCTCACTTGGTGTCTTCCTATTTCTTGAGGCCTCCCTGCCTCCATCTCACCATCTGGCCAATTGTACCATTGTCAGAGAATGCAAAGCACACTTGAAAATAGAAGGCTTTAGTTGCTCTTCCAAAGCATCCTCTGTGCCAACTCTCTATTCTAGATGACCCAAGCTTGAAGATGCTGAATTGCTGTGTCTCTGCAGTGCTCTAGCAGGATCTGATTTATTAGGCTCATGTCCCTTCCCATGTTGACAGATGCCCTTCCATCTATTTTGTTCAGAGAGGATTTCAGCCTGGGAGCAATTTCAGGTGTTCCCCCCCTTCTATCATCATCTCTGTGCTCTGTTTTTGCCATCAAACATTATTTATTTTGTTTGGTTTGGTTTTTCTTTTTTAAGGTACTTTCACTTTGTTCATTTAAAAATAAATTGTTGCCATGATGTATAAAGTAAAAAGATCAAAAAGTAACACTTGCAGAGATTGTAACTTGTGTAGGGATTGTTGACAGTTTTCCCCAGATTTCCCATTTTTGACAGAATTGTTGACTTTTATCTTGGCTTTGGTACTGTTCCCCTTTATGTCCATCCTTTGCATTATGACTTCAGCATCTTAATTTAAATTGAATAATGAATAATATTGTATAATAATATATTCCCTCTGGAGTTATGAATCACAAATTTTTGTGATTCAGAGGATTACATCTAACGTAGGTTACAAGAATTTCATTCACTAGAGGTGGGTTGGAGTTATAAATGTGTGAATGGGATTTGCTTGTTATTGAAAGCCTTTCTTTTTCACTGTGCCTTGAGTGTTCTTCCTGGCTCTCGAGCAATGGAAGCAATTTTGCTCCCAAAATTGGCCATTTTCTTTGAAACTTACTTAGGAGGATTAGGAGGTTAAACTATCCCAAGGTAGCTACTTCACCAATAGAATGTTTTTAGGATGGGATCCATCAGGAAATGGATGAAGTGACGTTGAAACCCGAAGAAGTCTCATCCATGCAGACACAGGATTTAAAATACCTGACTATGCGGCGTGTGGAAGAAGGTCACAAGATCCAACAACTCAAGTCTACTCTTCACGTCTTCGAGACTGATGGAAAGCCTCACAACAAGCATGTCTTCTTTGTTGATTCCAAGCAAGAAGGTATGTCATTGACATCAATAATAATGACTGCTGGCTGTAACAATATCAGAAGTATTGCTGTAAATATTTCAGCCAAAGACTTTGATGTCTCAAAGCGTCTTGGAGTCCCTCCAGAACTGCTGCCAAGGTCTTACAATAGGCCAAGGATCATGGATCTAGAACAACTTCGAATCCAGGGACTAGATCCTCGTGATGAATTCTCTCTCTCTGTGAGTGCCCTTTTGCTGCTATCTCATGTCTATCCTAGGTCATTATCCTACAAACAGATATTTTTAAATTTCTTGAATTCTTATAGAGAGTTAACAAGGCAGTTGCAAAAAGCTTTGCTGAACTAGAGAAGCGTATCCAGAGGGAAAAGGAACTTACTGTCCTTCAGCAAAAACTGGAATTGAAACGACATCTGTTGGTGAGTCCTATTTTCCTATTTTCTATCCCCACTCAACTTAAATTGCTCAACTTCCATCTACTTGATGTCAAAGCTTGATTGACACTAATATAGTATGTCCAAGAAGTTGTGCTACATGAGACTAACTGAAGGAGATGCTTGAAGAAATGAACACATGAAAACACTTGTAGGTTTTTAAACATGTCTCATCCCAATCACTGGTTGTCAGATAAAATGCTTTGATGAAGGCACATTCCTGCACTGTGTGCATATGACACATTGTATCACACCTGTAAACAAAGGAAAGAAAAATTAGCTTAACACTAGGACTACCAGAGCTGTCATTTTGATTGCAACAAATTTTTAATGCACTTTACTTTGCTCATTTGGGAATTTTTTACTTTTCCTATCAAATGTCGACGTTTCAAACATTTAACTTTTTGAACATACCTAATAACATGTACTTAAAATAAATAAAATGTTACATAATAATAGTTTAATACTACTTTTAATGCAGTAGATCAGTTTGACCACTCTGATAGTTGTAGTGTTAAGCCTAAAGAGGTGCCCCTGAAAAAATCCCTCAGTTGTGTGACTTTGACCAGATGGCCAAGCTTAGTCACAATTAACTACTCTGGCTTCAGCTTCTGCAGGCATAATCTCTGCTCTTCTTTTATGTGTGAGGCTTTGTCCAAAACTACAGCCTTATCTCAGGTGTGGTGCTCATGAAAAAGGTTTCAGTATCCCAGAATTTGGGGGATGCTACTGAATCAATTAAGTTGCAAAAAGAGAGATTTCCAAAGGTATGTTCTGATCTAAGCTATTTTCACTCAACATTTCCACTGGAAAGTATGGCATCTTTGAAAATCACCCCTTCCAAGATCATGAGAATACATCGTTCTATACTGTTTTGACTTCTTTATTTCATGAAGGTAATAATATGCCAGCAGGCATGTAATTTCTAAGAAGCTAGGGGTGGACAAACCCTCACCCTACTGCCAGCCCTTCTCCTCCCCCCTTTGCTGCCTACAAATTGACATCCCTGTATGCTGTGAAAAGCCTGAACCATGATGCTAATGCCCATTGAAAGAAGGAAGAACTAGATGCTTCCAGTTTATTCAGGCTTCAGTGGAAGATGGTTCTTCAGCCTCTCCTCAGTCCGGAATTAGATGCTGAATGCTAAATTATGTTATGTTTCCAACCTAAAACTGTATTCTATAACTTCATGAGACCTTCTATCCATTATTGGAAGCCTCCATGTCTTATCTAGAGCAGTGGTCGGCAACCTTTTGGTAGTGGCGGGCCGGATTGTCATAGTACAGTCGGGTCGTGGGCCGCAGAGCGATTACAGAGTAGTGCTGAGAGATGCAGATATGGGGGGTTTAAGTGCTCTCAGAAGTTTCCAAATTAAGATTTTTTGCATTCATGTTTATTTGAACTGAATTATGTGTGCAATACACACACTTTAATCATAGAATCAGATACAATATTGCTGTTCATAAAACTTGATGCTACCACAATGTGTGATTCTCACATTTCTCAACTGTAATACAGGCAATTTTTGGAAATTTGAGACCAACATCTTGACGTGTTGGTCTTTCAGTGCGAACTCTGTGCCTCTGCTAACAATTTAATGACATGATAACTAGCTTGAACTGGAGCCAGGTTTTCCTGCACTCTCATCTTGAAAATATTCCACTGAGCAAACAAGGCCTTTTTCAGAGCCTCTGTCTTGTCAGTCCTGATCTGGCCTTTCAGAGAGTCATACTTGCCTTAATGTCGTAATGCCGCCTACTGCTATATTCCTTGGACACCGAAACACTCTCCTTACGGACAAGACAAACTGCCTTATCTTAGAACTGCACAAGCAGGTAATCGTGTGTCCGCTGGTCACTGAACACCTGACACTCGAAGCCAACTTTTTGCTTTTTTTTGCTGATTTTGACAGCGACATGGTGGAAGGGCAGGTTCACAATAAAACAGAAATTGAAAACATCCACCAACCCACCATACCTCCAAAAGCCAAGAAAAGTGCAGCACGTCCCGCCCTCTCAGCGTAAAACAAAGGACAGGCGGTACAGAGGGCGCGCGTGCTGGTACAACAAGGATTAGCGTTTCTCGAGGCTAAAGTCCGAACCAAGTCCTCTGTGTTTGCAAACCCACCACCTCACGTGCTGGCGACGGTTCATAAAGGCTCGATTATCAGAAAATTGCAGGTCATCAGCAGGCAATAAGAGCACAGAACACTGAAACTATATTCTCTCCTTTCCAAAGATAAAAGAGGCTGCTGTGAGGAAGAGATAAATTTGTCCATGTTTCATGGATTCATTTAAGAAAAATTTAGCACAGCCCGACCAAGGTCGTGGTGGGCCAGATGAAATCTCTTCACAGGCTGCATCCAGCCTGCGGGTCATAGGTTGCTGACCACTGATCTAGAGGATAGGAATCTCAGCATTAAGCAGCTGTTTTCAATATTTAATCCATTATTCAAAAGAGACTCATGCCCTCAAGGAGATGAGTTCTCAAGTTTCTCTTTTCTGACTTTGAATGGTGCTCTTCTCTCCCTGTATGGTTTTCTTGACAAGGAGTGGAAGTATGGGTAACTGTTGGTAGCTCATCTGAGTGATGTCTTTGCTGCTTTAGCAAGGAGAGGGGATTGTCTGAACTGCTGAGGTGCACATTGAAACAATTAACCACTCACATTTCTTGAAATTGCATGACAATATGAAGTGACTTGGGTGGAGGGTCTATAACCTCAATATTGACCTTGTGAAGTGGACAACATATTTCTTTGATAACAAGAAAGTAATACTCTATTTTGATGCGGTTCTTCATAATATCCAGGAAGGCACATCAGAGATGAGCTGTTAGTTCCTTTGTGAGTAGACATCCTCATTGTCACTCCTGCCAAGCACTAGGTTAATGTATCATTAATGAAATATGTGATGGAGTAATTGTGAAATATTCATTACTACATGAATTTGAGAAAGTGTGGGAGGGCATCTAAGTTCTATGTTTGGATGAAACCTGATGAAAGTCTCATGATACATCAAGGCAGCATAGGTCTGGTATTAAGTGCTTTGATTTAGCCAAGATTGAGATTTGATATCTTTCATGCAGAAGAAAAAACAAGAGTACCCATCAAATTCCCTTTTCATTTTGCTGAAGTAATTCATATCATGATGAGTCATGAAAGTCCTGTGGTGATTGGAAATTATTTATAGTAGTTATTTATAGTTACTTATAGTTTATTCCAACCTAACAGAAAAATGTGGTCTCGGTGGTATTCAAATTAAATGCACTGAGATTTCCTCAATTGATGGAAAATCGTTGTATTGATTTCTGACGTTTTATTTCTACTCCAATTTTTTTCAGTTTCCAATATTCTGAGATATTTTTTGTGCCTGAGGAACTGTGGTGAAATAGATTCCATGGAGGGCTGTGAGCTTTCAGAATTGATTACTATCCATCATGCTATGTTGAATTACAGTGTATTCATTTTCAGACTCTTTTCTATTTCTACATTATGTTAGGACTCTTTTCTCCTTTTAGGAGTCAAAGGGAGACAAGCCCGAGAGAGTGAAGCCTGGATCTTCTATTGCCCCTCCTGTGTACAGATGGAAGATGAAGAGAAAGAGATGATTCAGAAAACATGGAAAACCTGGTCACAGAAGTGTTTAATGTGCTCCATCATCGGCCAAACTTTCATCGACCTGGTTTCCTCATTTGAAAAGGAGTGTGATCATCAAGAAAACCAATCCATTCTTTCAATGTCAAAGTCAATTTCCAGCATTTAAAAGACAAACTTGAGTTTTTGAGTTCCTGTCCATGGGTCAAGCTTGCAACTGGCTGTCTGGAGAAAATATACAAAGAAATCCATACTAGACTTCCAGATTCCTCCCTTTCTTTCAGGGGTGAGATCCTGCTTGGGGATACAACATGCAGGAATTTTGGTGGGAAAACCCTTAACCTTCCCAGTCATGGAAAGTGGCAGCACCAGTATTGAAGCCATATGATACCAGAAGACAATTTTGGAAAGCTGACTTTTCCATAGTCTTCTAATGATATCTAAAGTCAACCCCTTTTTTTTATGAATCTGGGTTTTGGGAGCTCCCAAATAAAATCTTAGGAGCTGTGAGGGGCCCTCCCTGAACAACACCAATCTGAAACCTGGTTTGTCCTAGTCTTTGCTACTGTTGATTTGTCCTGGTTGATGTTATATTTCTCTGGTGAAAATTATATCCTTTCTGTATCTAACTCTGATGCCCTCTATGAACTAACATTTCTAATGAGAAGACTCCTTCCATATGTAAAGGGTATGGATAATTGGCCGAAGTTATGATTATGGCGGCTCAACTCTGCCATCTATGAACTATAGACTTACCTGGGGCAGAGACTAATTCAGTTCTGTATTTGTCATCGGCATGGTGGGATTGCATCATAGTGTGGAATAAACGTTCGAGTAAATTCATTCTAGGGTGACTCAAAGTTCCTAATGGATCACAAAGTTCAAATTGCGCACACAACCTGCAAGATGCATCCGCAGCCATCCTTGGAGCGCTACGAATTTACAATGTTGCAAGCATCCACAACTTTGTGCACGTCAGAATTTGGGTGGTATTGCTCAAACCCAAAAGGTGCACTTGCGAGTGAGTATGCTACATGGTATGAATTGGCAATATAAACTCCCTTTCTAGCGTCGTGCGCAATTTGTTGGAGAACATTCGTTCGATATTATGGAGCTTTTGCAGCACGGTGGTTGTCAACAATCAGAGCCGATGTAGAATCCAGGCCGTCTCTTCATCTATGCTTTGAATATTGAGAAAGATGTATTATTTCATTGCTTCTCGCAATGTAGTTGGGCCCTGCAATGAGAAGGACTTCGATTCAGCCAGGGAATACAGAACCTGGCTTCCAAATAGAAACCATGCTAATCGGTAACTGTAAGCCACACGCTCTATGTCACTCTCGATTAAAACTTTAAAATAGCTTAGTTTTAATGATCGATCATCCAATGCGTATAGTCAAAACACTTTATTCTGAGCCTGAAATTGGTTTGTAGCGTTACCCTGAATTTCAGTTATAAATGGGAAGGGAGAGGAATGGTCGGGTGGACTTGAATGATCTGGCGCATCGCTCCCTCGCTCACGTCCTTGGTCTGAGAGCTGGTGGGGAGACACTAAACGACATCTACGAAACGCTGGGGTCCTAGCTCTGACTAGGGAGGGCTCACTTTAATTAATCCCTCGTGACTGTACTTGTGTCGATCTCGATCGCGATGTTCCCAGCAATCAAACGAGCATTCTATCAGCGTTGTATGAACGTTAATTTTGAGCCTTCCCACCATACGGTGGCGTTGCATCTAACATTAAGTCGATGCTTCAGTGTCGCATCGATACTCGGATCAACAGTGGCTGAACGTTGGGACAACATTCTAATGTCGCTTATCGGAACCGCTCACCCACGGTACTGGGTCAATAACGAAGGCAAAGGAATATTGAACCGAATGTACTAATTTTAGTACATTCTAGGGAAGAATCCTCCCAATCATGCTCTACGGATTTATCCGTAAGATAGATCCTTCTTTCATTCCCTGGAGACAGAAAGATCATTCTGCCCCAGAAAGGGCATGATGAACAGATTCTACGGCAAAGTGAGAGGATGGTGACCCCTTTCGGATTAGATAATGTCTATCATGCAAGGAGTTCTCATGGGGAATATATGCTTGTTTATCGCCTGGGCTCCATGAATCTGTCTCGAATATGGGGATATTAAATCATAGTGTCAGATTTTATTGCCTGCTGTAAAGAGACTAGGAGAGACATGGCGAGGTACTAAACAATCCTATGAGGGATTAAACTTTAACGTACAACTTTGGCACATTGGATCATCGCGTCAATACGATATCGGATCGATGATGGAATGGCAATATCGGGAAGCAAGATTTAGCCAATAATGGCGAGATGACAACGTGCCCGGTGTCGGTCCAGCATCGAGTCAATATCTGGTGCAACCGCGGTGGGATGCAGGTCGAAGTTCAACATCGGTTCAACATTATTCAGCAAGCACAGGCACGTTCTATATCAGAGCTTCTCCTGAACAGCGATTCGACATTTCGTGGCGCTTCGCAGTTTTTATCTTACGACACGTTCCTCGAATCCCTGATGAATGACGCTGCTGAACGTCGAAGCATAAACATTCCGTCGACGTTAGTTAACACCGAATGGGTTCTTTATCGTTTCTTGACGAAAAAAGGTCTCCCTTATCGGAGTGGCGTGCTCCACGATGCTACCACAAATACTATTCAAAAAGGGAATTTAAGAAGGTATCCCTGGGTATGCCATTACCCTACTAAGACATTCATACGACGCTTGACTCGGACCTTCAGACGTTGACGACATCGTCTCTAGTTCGACGTTCCCACGACGCTACTATGTTTGCTGGGTCCATGGAGGAAAGAGGGGGAAGGGGGAAGGGGGAAGGGGGAAGGGGGGAAGAGGTGGAGGGGGCAGGTTTCTTCACCTTCACCAAGCAGAAAGGCGTGGCAAGGGTTCGTCTGGTCGAAGGCCAATCCGGAACCACATCAGTCACGGAGTCAAATTTCTCCCAATATGTGTTGTTGCGAGAATAAATGCAGACGATGTGAGACCTGCCGTGATATCGTTTCTCATCGAAGCCCCAATGACAAAGCAATGGTGGTGCTGCCAAAAAAATGTCTCGTTTTAGCCGCACGAAAAGTCGACGGGAAAAAACGAGCCTACGAAAAAATATCTCAGAATATTGGAAACTGAAAAAAATTGGAGTAGAAATAAAACGTCAGAAATCAATACAACGATTTTCCATCAATTGAGGAAATCTCAGTGCAT